CCTTTCAACTGATTGGCTGCTCATAGCAGATCTCATCAAGAAGGCGATTACATCATTTCATAACTGCCAAACTACAAAACTGCCAAACCACCGAGAAATCTGTCCAGCCAAGTTGACACACAGCAGTAATCATCACATTCTTTTATATCTCAAAAGAGACGGACTTAAGACAAACAACCACACTAATACTACATCATTAACGTAACAAAGAAATTCCATTTCCAAATGGGATTATAGCCATAGGTATAGGGATTAAAATTTATAATACATATTTTTGGGGAACACACTTCAATCCATAAAAGGTACCTAGTTATCAAAGGTGGCCCCAAACCATTCCACCCCTCCTTATACAAACATGGTGCTTGTCCAATTGCAAGAGGGAGTTTTTTTCTCCTCCATTTGAACCTGGACTTGGTTGTGATGCTTTGACCAATAGAATATGGAGGAAAAGATGTTATGAGACTTCCAAGGCTCAGACATTAAGAAGACCTGACAGTAGAAACAATCCAAGTGTCCACCAAGAGGTGTACGGAAGTTAGAACAATTAGGTATGGTTTGTATCTAACATCAGTTAGTCAAATGTTTGTTTTAGTATATAGTGTACATTTTCTATGCTAAAAAAACATTAAAGAAACACTTGCAGGTACACTAAAATATCTTTAATATAATACAGCAATAATAATGTTTTGATGCACATCGCAAGGTAGCACCCTTTTGTTTTTACCAACATGCCTCAAATTTTTAATATAATAGGCTTTACGGGACTTGGTTTCTAAGTACTGATTCTATGTAAGTTGGACATTTGTAACCCAGGAACTGCTACAAAGTGGTGGTTTTCAAAAACAGAAATTTACTATCCCACAGTTCTGGAGATTTGAAGTTCAAACCAGATTATCGGCCGTGGTGATTCCCTCTGAGGCTCTGAGAGAGAGAAACAGTTCCATGCCTCTGTCCTAAGTTCTATTGTCTCCCGGCAATCCTTGGAATTCATTGGCTTGCAGCTGTGTCTGCCTCCGTTGTCACGTGGCTATCTTTCCTGTCTATACCTGTCTCTGTATCTATTCTTCTAATTTATAAGACACCACTCAAATGGGATTAGGGCCCACCCTGCTTCAGCAGGCATTGTCCCTGGGTCTCTTTGACTTGATTAAAAGGGCCATTTGCCTGTTCACAGGAGTCCCATCATCCCAGGGAAAATGAGTGTGGGCTGAGTGTTTTCAGGGAGAAGCTGATCCCGATGCCCCCATATCTGTCCCTCTGGGTTCCATGTCCACACCTCAATCCTGTCTCAAGAAGGAGGGGCGCTTAGTCAGTCCTGTTCCGCTGGAGGCCTCCACACCTGCAGAGAAATCTGGGTCTCAAATCAGAGTCAGTTACCTTAATTCTAACTCCAGGAATTTGAGGTCCATCACTGGGCTTCCCTGCAGAAGGACAGGTGTGCTCACCTGGTGTAGTAGATCCTGGTGAGGCCACAGGTGAGGAGGAAGCCAGCCCCCATGAAGCCCCCCTAATCAGGGTGAAGAACCCTCTTGCTCTACAGTCACACAGCGACAGCAAGAAGGGCTACACGGGGGAGGAAAATGGGTTGAGGCTCTGTCCCCTGCCCTCCATCCATCACAATGACCAAACAAACACCTACTAGGTTCCCTCCTTCAACACATGCTCACAACTCACTCTGCACAGAGAAGCTCAAAGAGACATGCTGGGAGCCCATCGGGTGCTGAGCCAGGCAGGTGAATTCCCCTCCATTTTCAGATTCTACTTTGGGCAGCTCCAGGACCCCAGGGTTCAACAGCTGGAAGGGTCTCAGGGTTAGGCTCCCCCAGACCCAGCTCAGCCTGGCAGGGGGTTGCTGCTGGCGATACAGACCAGATGCAAATACTGGCCCTTGTGTACATGCAGTGATGAAGCATTTCTTATGATAGTGAATTCTAAAGAGAGACAGAGATTCTGAGAATCAGAGAGAAAAAGAGATTCAGAGAAAAAGGAAGGGTACAGAAAGAGACAGGGTAAGGGGGACAACACAGACACACAACATAGACTGAAAGAGCAGAGTCTCTGTAAGAGGGACCCAGACAGGGAGCTGTGATGTTAATTGTATGTGTCCACTTGGCTAAGCTATGGTGCCCATTTGATTGGTCAAACACTGGTCTAGATGCTGCTATGAATGTACTTACATGTTGGCCTAAAGTAAAGCAGATGACTCTCCAAATGTGGGTGGGCCTGACCCAATCAGTTGATGGCTTAAAAAAAAAAAAAAACAAAACTGAGGTTTCCAGAGGGAGAAAGATTTTGCTCAAGACTATAAATAGGTATCCTGTCTGAATCTGTACCCAAACCAACTCTCCTACAAAATTTGGACATAAGACTGATAAATATTAAAAGATTCTGTCCAACACTGGGTTGGTGAGGCTGGGAAGAAACACATACTTTCACTCCTCATTGGTGGGACTATAAACTTGCTCAGTGTCAAAAAAATTTGGCCATTTTTTTCCCAGGTGCTGTCGAGTCAATTCTGACTCATGGCAACCCCATTGGTGCAGAATACAGCTGCTTCATAGGATTTTCAAGGCTGTGATCATTTAGAACCAGATTGCCAGGCCTTACTTCTGAGGCACCTTTGCGTAGGTTTGAACCCCCAAGATTTTGGTAAGCAGTAGAGCACTTAACCAATTGCACCACCCAGAGACTCCAATTTGGCTGTATCTCTCAAAATTAGAAAGAACATACAATCCAGTCACTTTGCTTTTAGGTATTTGTTTCACAGACAAGACACACTTGTGAAAGTAGAGATAAGTAGGTAAAATATACAAGCTTATTCATTGCATTCTTTTTTTTTTTTTTTTTAGTTACTGGAAAAACTTAATGACATCCTTTTCTATTAATAAAAGATGTGCCTAGGAGCAGATCTGTCCATACAGGAGGATACTGCACAGTGAGAGATAAGAATGAGGACAGTCTTTACTGCTGACATTGAACGACCTCTTGGACACATTAGGTGGAAAAGCCAGAGCACTGAGCAGCATGCACAAAACACTAGTCTCTTCTAGGGAGGGGAGCTGGCATCTGGGACAGACTTTGCCATGCATTTTGAATTTCAGCCATAAGAACATATTTCCTCTCCAAAATGACTTACATAAACACTATTGGTGGCACAGTGGTTAAGAGCTGGGCTGCTAACCGAAAGGTCAGCAGTTTGAATCCACCAGCTGCTTGCTCTTTGGAAACCCTACAGGTAGTTCTGCTCGGTCCTATAGGGTTGCTATGAGTTGGAAGTGACTCAAATGCAATGGGTTTGGGTTTTTTTTTTAAAGGGAAAAAAAACAAGGCTACAGGAGTCATCAGGAGTTGGATGATAAGGGGCCTCAAAGTCCTGTTTTGCTGTTTGGAGAGGGACCCCTGGGATCACCAATAAGTGTGTCTCTGGTCACCAGGGTGAGTCCAGGAGGAGGTGGAGGACCCCGGCTGGGCCCCTGCTCCCAGTAGCCCCAAGGAGGAGACGTGCTTCCTACTACCTGTGCCATTTCCTCGGAAGACAGTTATGCTCACAATCAGTGGAGAATCTAGGACAGAAAGACATAGGGAACCTCCATCGGGGAGGGTAGCTGGACATTGGCCCTCAATCCCTAGGAGCTGCAGAAATGGGGAAGGGGTGGAGGCAGACATTTCCCAGGCCCCCTCCCAGTCCACATTCCAGAACCTGGCACACAGTGTCCAAGGCCCTGACCCCTCCCAGCCCTGCTGCCTTCAGGAACCCCTCATCAGATTGTCCCCACCCAGTAATTATAGGACACGATGAGCTGGACGGTCCTCTCCGTGGTCACACCTGCTCCAGGGAAGGTCACCTAGCAGGTGAGGTTGGTGCCGTGGTCCTGAGGCTGTGGGGTGAGGATAAGCACTGAGGACTGGGGAATCGTGGGAGGGGTTCCAGGGGGAGATGGAGCCCCCATCCATGAAAAGAGGGAGGCCCCCCATCCATGAAAAGATGGAGGCCTTCCATCCACAAAAAAAAACCTCTGGGTTGGAGACACAGGTCTTGCCCTGGGAGAGTCTGTTTCTTAGGGTTCGTATCTCTGGGAACTAAGATCTGCAAGATTTAGAGGAAGCCCTAAGAGGAAGATGGGGGAGAGGAAAGACTGTTGACCAGTGACCATCCTCAGAGCAGGAACCTATGAGATAGAAGTTGTCAGGGCCAGGCTGTCCTTGGAGACCAACCATCACCTCCCTACATCCACTCATGGGACTCTGAGGTCAGAGAGGGCAAGAGACACACCCAAGTTCACAACCAAGGCAGGGCTCAGCCTCCATCTCTGGCCTCCATGTTGACGTACTTCCTCTTAGGTAGCACGTCTACAGTGTGAAATCGGGTCCCACCTGGACTGAACCCACTGAACCCCAGGCTCTAGGGTTTGTGGAGGTCAGTCCTGCCAGGGTGGGGCCCAGGAGGGGCTTGGGAGCTGAGATCAGGCACATGAGAGATGGGGCAGCCCTGGTAGACGTGGGAGGCAGCCTCCCCTCCCTCTCTCCCTACCTACCTCTCACAGAATCCACTTGGTGGGTGCTTCTTCTCTGCACAACCCAGCTGAATGCTGCCCTTGGGGACACCATGCAGTGGGGAGATAAAATGTCTCCTGGAATCTATATCTCCCCGTGACAGGAGCTGTGAGGGGGGACACACAGGCAGGGGTGGGGTCACTCCCGCCAGGTTAGAGGTTTCATTCTCAGGAGGACAGGGCAGAGGGGACATTGTCTGGATTCTCGAGCTGTGGAGGTGAGGATTCTATGTGTTAATAATTGCCAAGGACACAGAGAGAGCCCGAGTCCTAGGAAGCCCCAACAACTGAAGCTGAGGTTATCTGTACAAGGGACTTGGTAAGGAAGAAAGCAGAAAATAGAAGAGAATGGTTTCGAAAGGGTCAGATTTCCCTTTATCTTGACAATCTGGATGCCAGGACCAACCCCATCACAACTGCTGTTTCACTGGCCACACTTGTCATTACTCCAGAACATGTCGGGGGCGGCCCCGTGTCCAGGGCTTTGTTTGTGCAGGTCCTGCTGCTCCTGGGAGTCCAGAGCTAAAAAGGAATGCCAGCTGTGGGATTTCCCCGCTCAGGGTGGTTCAGATTCAGTGCATCTGAATCTGGAAAAGATTATTTTTAACTCTGTGGCAGGGGCTCAAACAGTAAAACACACAGCTCTTAAATGAAATGTGGGAAGTTCTAACCCACCCAGTGGTGCCTTGGAAGAAAGGGCAGGTGATCTACATCTGTAAGATTAACCCATTGCTGTCAAGTTGATTCCAACTCCTAATGACCCTAAAGGGCAGAGTAGACCTGCCTTATAGGGTTTCCAGGAAACTCTGGTGGTGTAGTGGTTAAGTACTGTGGCTGCTAACCAAAAGGTGAGCAGTTTGAATCCACCAGGTGTCCTTGGAAACTCTGTGGGGCAGTTCTACTCTGTCCTATAGGGTCGCTATGAGTCGGAACCAACACAACGGCAATGGGTTTGGTGGGGTTTTTTTGTTTGTTTTTATACGGTTTCCAAGGCTGTAATCTTTACGGAAACAGACTACTACATCTTTCTCCCTTGGAGCAGCTGGTGGATTCAAATTGCAGACCATTCAGTTAGCAGCAGAGTGCTTAACAACTGAGCCACCAGGGCTCTGACTGAAAACCCTATGCAGCACAGTTCTGCTCTGACACACGAGTGGGGTTGTCATAAATCAGAATTGCCTCAACAGCAATTGGTTTGCTTTTTAGTTTTGGGGCTTGGGGAGGAAGTGATGGTCATCCTAGGAAGTGAAGCCTCCTCAGACCATAAATATTTTGAGGGGGGGGTGGAATTACAAGAAACATCCAGAAAACTGCCTCCAAAACAACTCAGTGATCCACAACAAAATGAACACCTTCCAGGAAATGCAACATTGCAAGCACAAGACCCGGCCATGTGCCCCCTCCACTGCCTCTCCTCCTGAAGGAGCCACTAGCTCACATTAATGGAAACTAAAAACCCCTTCCCTTCAAGCTGATTCCAACTCATAGTGACCCTATAGGACAGAGTAGAACTGCCTCATAGTTTCCAAGGTTGTAAATCTTTAAGAGAGAAAACTGCCACATCTTTCTCCTGTGGAGGATCTGGCGGGTTCGAACTGTAACGTTCGGTTAGCATCCGAGTGTTTAATCACTGCGCCACCAGAGTTCCTTAGACACGGAAGGAAGCACAAGTGGGGAAAGACTGGTGCCAAGTGAAGATCACCAAGGAACCGAGGAAGAAAAGCTGAAAGAGACAAGGATTTTCTCGCAGATCAGACAGAGAGAGCCTTCCCCTATCCTGTGCCCTGATTTCAGACTTCTAGCCTCCTAAACAGTGAGAAAATAAATTCCTGCTCATTAAAGCCACCCACTTGTAGTATTTCTGTTACAGCAGCACTAGACAACTAAGAACCCAACTCCCACAGGGGCCCCCATCCTGACCTACTCTCTCACACCAGGGACAGTTGCAGCATCTCTGTGGTCAGAAAGGCTGGGCCATAGCCATTCTGCTTCCCAAGGTCCCCAAATTGCAAAGAAAAGTAGAATAATGGGTAAGAGAAGCACAGGGAAGATACAGATAATCTAATGGGTAACTGGGCACAAAAGAAGAACTTAAGACCATGGAATATCAGAGCTGGAGTCCTTCTAGTCTCACTTCTCCAATTTGCAGAAGAAGAGACTGAGGTCCAGAGTGGGCAAATGACTTCCCCGAATCAGTGTCCTGTCTATGCACCACTCTCTGCACCTCATTGAACTTTTGTCTCCCCAAGATTTATTAGGGTGGGAGATGAGAAGCTTTTTATGTTAATTTGAGTGGGAATAATTGTCAATTCTCCCTATGAGATGAGGGAGGAAAATTCAGTCACAGCATCAATATTTTGCCTGGAGCTGGAAGTAAAGGGATGAATATGACAGTTCTAGTCCTTGTCTTATAGAACAGCATCTGACTGGAAGACAGACAAGCCACAGGACAAGTGTGGTGCCATAGGGGAAGAAGCTGTGATGAGGGGAGCACAGGCCGGGGCTGGGTGGGGCTCTTGGTCTTCTGGACTGAGAGGTGAGTTCACACAGAGGGATGGGCATAGTGGACATAGTCAGGACTCTCAGGCAATCATGAGGGTTGCTGTTTCTATAGGTGACCCTGGGGTCCTGAGAATTCCTGGACCCTCAGGAATTGTGTCTCTAATCCCACACACTTTCCCACTGTCCTGGGGATCTTCACTTAGCCACCAACTCCTCTGGTTCTCTATGTGACCAAGCCCACCTCTGCCCCAGCAGAGGTCAGGGCACAGACCAGTGGGGGCCTCCCTCTGCCAAGGACAGACTCTTGTTAGCTGCCATGGAGTCAGCACCCAACTCTTGACAACCCCACGCACAGCAGAACAAAATGCTACCCAGTCCTGTGCCATCCCCATGATCAGTTGCAGATTGGACCATTGTGATCCATAGAGTTTTCATTGGCTGATTTTTGGAAGGATATTGCCAGGCCTTTCTTCCTAGTCCATCTGTGATGGTTAAGATGGTGTGTCATCTTGTCTGGGCCATGATTCTCAGTGTTTTAATGTGATCACTCACATGATTGAATATACTGCGAGTAGCCAGTCAGATGAAAGGGAGTCTCCTTGGGGGCATGGCCTGCATCTGAATATAAGCAGATGTTCTGGCTTTTTGCTCTCTCTGGATCCTGCAGCTGCCTCCTGTCATCTCATCTCTGGTTCTTTGGACTTGAGCTGTCAGCTTATCTGCCAAATTTGGGATTCGTCAATCTTCACAGCCTGTGAGTGGAGCCCTGCTCTCTGACCTGCCGATCTTGGGTTCGCCAGCCCCTGCAGCTATGTGAATCGGGAGAAACCTTGTAGTCTTGCCTGCTGATCTCGGAATTCATCAAACTTCACAGCCTGTGAGTGGAAGCCCTGCTTTCCAACCTGCTGATCTTGGGCTCGCCAGCTTCTGTGGTTGTGTGACTTGGGAGAGGCCTCTACCCTGATTCACAGACTTGGGACTTTCTAGCCTCTACAGTCACGTGAGCTGTTTCCTTGATATAAATATATATATATACATATATACGCTTTACTGGTTTTACTTCTCTAGAGAACCCAGCCTAAGACACCATCTTAGTCTGGAAGCTGCACTTAAACAGGTTCACCATCATAGCAACCTGCAAGCCTCTACTGTAAGATGGGTGGTGGCTGCAGATGAGGTGCATTGGCCAGGAATCAAATCTGAGACATACTCTGGCTCCTCAGGAACCCTGGCAGTGGCCTTGGTGCTGTTTGTGGTGCTGATGAAGATTTGTGTCCTGGATTGAATTATATACCCCAAAATATATGTTGTAGATCCTAACCTCTATGCCTGTGGTTATAATCCCATTTGGGAATGGGTTGTCTTTGTTATATTAATGAGGCAGGGTTTGTATAGGGTGTATCTTGAATCATTTTTGAGACATAAACAAGAGAGCAAAGCAGAGATTGGGGAAGAGATGCCAAGCCACATGAAGATCACCCAGGAACAGAAGCTCAAAGAGACAAAGACCTTCCTCCAGAGCCAGCAAAGAGAGAGTCTTCCCCTAGAGCCAGCACCCTGAATTCGGATTTCTAGCCTCCTAAACTATAAAAAGGAAGAAGAAGGCTCCAGGAATTGATGGAATACCAATTGGGATGTTTCAACAAATAAATGCACCACTAGAGGTGCTCACTTGTCCATGCCAAGAAATTTGGAAGACAGCTGCCTGGCCAACAGACTGGAAGAGATCCATATTTGTACCTATTCCAAAAGAAAAGTGATCCAACAGAATGCAGAAATTGTCGAACAATGTCATTAATACCACACGCAAGTAAAATTTTGCTGAAGATCATTCAAAAGTGGTTGCAGCAGTACATCAACAGGGAATTGCCAGAAATTCGAGCTT